GCACTTTACACTCCCAGTCCCCACCCATCCTGCTGGTCATCCATTCAAGTGATGTGGGAAGAGAGATTGCCAGTGAAGATGGAGGCAAAAAACCTGGTGAGTACTTCAGCCTTCTCCTTGTCCATTGTTACAAGTTTTCCAGAGTTATTTATCAGGGAGTTACACCTTCTCTGACCTTTCTTTTCTGGTTAACATACCTGTAGAACCCCTTGTCCTTATTCTTTGTGTCCCTTGCCAAATACAGTTTCAGCCTTGCTGTGGCCTTCCTCACGGTAACCCTACAGAACCAAACTTCTTCTCTATACTCTTCCCAGATTACCTGTCCTTGCTTCCACGCCTGTGCATTTGCTTCTTTCCTCTTAGTTTGACCAACTATACCAGTCTCTTGCCTTCCTTGCCCAATTTCTTGCTCCTCCTCTTGCCAGAAATTTTGCTGTATGGAAGACTTCCTTAAAGATCTGCCAGGTCTGTTCCACTCCCTTATCCCTGAGGACAGTCTCCTATTGACTGTCTCCTTGAAGAGCTGGAAGTCTGCTATCCTAAAGTTCAGGGCACTTTAACCTTTTGTTGTGGGTTAATGTGACTGGGGTTTTTTTGGTGTGTGTGGGGGGTGGCTACAGAGATAAGTTCTGTGGAAGCTGCTAAAAGTTCCCCCCCCCCCCCCCCGTGGAGCTGAAGATGGTTCCAGGGCTGACCAAGAGGAGAGCCAATTAAAAGTTTTAGTAATGCCTCTGTGATAACATATTTAGGAAAAAACTTGTTGTGCAGAAGAAATTGCAGCCAGGGGAGTTTCCGACCGGGACTCCGGGCGGTCCAAGTTGCCTCCCGCACCACGGGCGGGGCGGGCGGTGGCTGGGGCCTGGGCCCGCGGCAGCTGCTGGCCCGAAGCAGGCAGCGGCGGGCCCTGCGAAGGGGGGCCAGGGCCAGGGCGTGCGGCCTGGTGGGGGGAGGACTCCATGGAAGCGCCGCGGCCGTGGTAGCCAGGGCCAAGGCCAGGGCTGAGGGCAGTGCTGTGGAGAGCAGCCCTACAGCTCCCCCCGGGCCCACCCCATGAGCAGCTTGTGCTGGAACCGATCCTGCTGGCTGAGCAGAGCCGGCCGGGCCGGGGCGGCCCCTGCCACCTTCCTGCCGCGGGTGGGGGTGACTGGGTCGAAAGGCGCGGGGGCACCGCGGGCTAGGCCAGGGAGGCAGAGCGGCCCCGCAGCCCCCGGGCCTGCCCCGCGAGAAGCCCATGATGGAGCAGATGGATGCATGGGAGAAGACAGTCACCCATGGGAGGCCCAGTATGGGGCGGGGGCCTGCAGGAGATTTGCGGCCTGTGGAGAGAGGAGCCCACGCCGGAGCAGGTTACTCCCGGGTAAGACTTGACTCGTGGCCTTGTGGGGAACTTGTACATCTCACCCTCTGTCAAGGACTGCATCCTATGAAGGATGGGGAAGCGACTCTCGGGACAGTAGATATGGAAGAACTAGTGCCTGAGGGATGGACCCATGTTGGAGACGGCCGTCAAAGATTGTTATTCGTGGGAGGGACCCTACGGAACAGGGGAAGGACTCAGAGCTTTAGCTCCTCTGTAATCCGTGGTGAAGATCATGGTGAGGCAGGTTGTCCCCCCTGCAGCCCATGAAGGACCATTGAGGTGCAGAGACCCCCTGCACCCCATTGAAGAGTGACCTACGGGATAGCAGATCTGGAACACCAGTTGCCCGAGGAGTGGACTTCTTTCCCTGCATTGATGCAGGAGGAGGAGGGAGAACATAGAAGGAAGGAGGGGTGGTTGGAGAGTGTTTTTAAGACTGTTTTATTTCTCACTCTTTAGCTCTTATCCTGTTAGTAAATTTTAGTATTATCCCCATGTTGAGTCTGTCTTGCCTGTGTGACCTCTTCCAGCTCTTAGCGATTTTCGTGGGTGCCTAAATTTTGGCCAGGGTCAACCCACGACACCTTTCATTTTCAGTTTTGTTTCTTTGTTAATCACTCCTTAGTCAGCTTGGGTTTTGTGGCAGACTTAAGTCATATTTTGTTTTAGAATTGTGTTTTAAGTCATATGACTAATTAATGTGATATGACATTACATACTTAAAATTCCCTGGTCTAATATATACATTTTACAGCACTCAGACCTGAATGGTGTCCGAAAATGTATGTTAATATTTAAACATACATATTCTCCATAAAAGAGAAAAAAAAAAGACAATCTATAGGCTTAGCTCACATTTAGATCTCTTGATTCTGTTTGTGGGTTTCAAATACATTGGCTCATTCACACCAAAACAATTTGGCAAATCAAAATGAAACAATTATTTCAAGTTAGACAAATGGTAATTGCACAGTTTTTAGTTTATCTACCCAACTACACATCCAGATGAATACTGTGAATATTAAAAGAACACTTGTGGACTATAAAACTATTTTTCACTCACAGAACTATTGCAATAAAAAAATAATTCATTTACAAAATACTCTCAACATTATTTAATACGTAACATCATAACACTTATAAATTCATTCATTAACACACTCAAAGCAATTATTTTGTAGATGAAAACACTGCTTATGCATTGAGAATGGGTTTTTTTCTTTTTTTTTACAGACATGCATAAATATTGCTATGAGCCTTCAGTAGCTGATGTTACATAAATGACAAAGTTTGTCAGAGCAGGCACACCTACATATGTATCTCACTTCCTTACACTTGCAGGGAGACTTCTCACAGGCGACAGAGGTGCAGAATCACAACTGGCCAGCCTGAGTTCCTGATGAAATCATGCAGTCACTGAAGGGCAGACGCTCTCCACTTCTACTGACCCTCTGGTCCTCAATAAAATTTCTGACCTCTGTTTTCTACATGTCGGAAAATTTAAAGGATTGTTTTACTTCACTTGTCTCACTTAAAATTTTTATTCATTTAGTGAGTTATGCTTTGGTTATACAACACTATAGTGTGCTTGCATTAACTGTGCTGCATAAAATATAATGGGGGTTAATAGCAGGATAATTTCCCCATGGAAAAGAATTATGGCTTTGACCCTCCTGGAGTCAGAATAAAATGCTGCAGGGATAAGAGCTTATCTTAACTCCCTAAATCCTACCGTAACAGTTGAACTGAAAAATAGCTTATTTGCTTTGGATAAATTCTTCATTCAGCAAATTAACATGATATAGAGTGGAGAGATATGTACATATTATCCTTTCTAAGACTTCTTTAGCTTTTATGTATTAGCTGACAATTTTTATTTTTTTTAACAAGAGCAAGTATTTAATTGTTTGATTTGTCTGGAATTTCATTTTAAAAGTCATTACTAAATCCAGGACCTAGAACTGCATTAGAGTGATTAAATATCCTTATAAAATTTCCCTATATTTGCCATCTGTTCTAATTATCACAGTAAATGCACTGCAACGACAATAAAAAATATAAAACGTCAAAATGGTTGTAAATGGTTTTGAAAACTTGAAGACATTCTTTCTGAATGAAGTGCGGCTGTTGAAAGAGCCTTTAAAACTGGTATTTAAGAAGTTGCTGAATCTCTTTTTCCTCAATTGTTGATTGCATTCTTGGAAATAATTTGTTTTTCACTTTTATGGGATGGCTAAGACAGTTTGCTCACCTTAGAATCTCATGAGTTTCTTCAGAATTTTTTGTGTTGTATATCTACAATATTGAAAGGACCTTAAAATCATTTAATAAGCTAATTAATTTTGAATGGGTCAGAATCAAGGTTTCCTGGGTAATTGTACACAATCAGATGCATTATTGCATTAAAAAACAGACTTGTGTTACAGGTTACATGTCAAGTGCTTGTTGAGGGAATATCTTTTTAATATTTTTCTATTTCCTTTGCTTCATGGCTGATCTCAGGCCTGACATACCTCATAAACACCAGTCCTTATGATGAACATAGAATTATTAATTTTTGCCTGCTGGTTTCTGTGACATTTATTACTCTAGGACAAGAGTCTTTTGTAAATGAATTAATTTCTTATTGCAACAGTTCTGTGACTGATTTTATTTTTATTCAGGGAGAACCGGAGTTTCAACTGCTAGAGACACACTGACTGAGTGAGCTTGGCTGAAGATGCAACAGGCCAATTTTCCAAAGGGTGAAGGGTTATTCAAAAGTTTCCAGTGGATTTTTCCTATTCAATTTCTTTTTAACAGTTTTGATTGAAATTTAACTTTGTCTTTGAGAAAGAAATACAAAAGAAAAAGAAAAAATAGCTCCATATGTCCCCAGGACATTCTGATTCAGCTTCTGATTTTTGAAATTATTATGTTTCTAGGTGTCTTTATAAAGTTGTATGTGAATGGTTTTGAAATATATGAACACAAACTCAAAGAGGGAAAGTTTAGGTTAGATATTAGGAAAAAAATTCTTTACTGTGAGGGTAGTGAGGCACTGGAACAGGTTGCCCAGGGAGGTTGTGGATGCCCCAACCCTGGCAGTGGTCAAGGCTGTGCTGGATGTGGCTTTGAGCAACCTTGTCTAGTAGGAGGTGTCCCAGTCCATGGCAGGGAGGGTGGGTAATAGGTGATCTTTAAGGTCCCTTCTACCCCTTAACATTCTATGATTCTGAGATACCTTCGTGTAGTACAGCACAGTGATAAAGCAAAGTACAGATCTTAATTATTAAGTTACACAAAGGAGTAAAGGGATACAAAGCAGAACATGTTTGTATTTTAGCTGCTGCAGGGCGGGGACACTGCTCTGTTTTGCTGCTCTGTTTTGCTGCTCTGTTTTGCCTGTACCACCGTGCCTGTGGTCTGGATTAGCCTCCGCTCCTGCATGCTCTCTAGTGTAGTGTTTCACAGCCCCCTTACCTAGGAACCACTTTCCAGCTTCTCCTACAAATCAAAGAGACACCTGTACCACCGCTCCTTCCCTCCTCAGGCCGGTCAGGGTGGAATGTTTACCACATCCTCAAAACATCAATTCAAAGCAGGGACACTGACTGGGCAGGCTGAGGTTACCAGGGAAACCTCAATGTGGGTATTGCTGAAGTTTGGGGTGCTTTCCTGTGCTCTACCCTGCTGGACTCAGCCCCTGACCTCTCCCTCCTCAATTGCCACCTCTGTGGCCCACACCAAGCCCTACAGCCTCCAGGCTGCCCTTGCTTGGATTCATGCAAGTAGCAGTGCAGTGGGGGCTGCCACGAGCATTGCCCCACATGCCAGTTCCAGCTGGTTCCAGCCCAATGTGGATGTTTCAGACTGTTCTCACTGGTTGCAGCTGGCTTTTTAAGGGACAAATGCCACGATGCTGCTGCCCAGATCAGCCATGCTGCAGCACCTCAGGGAGCAGGGATTGACAAAATGGCAGAGAACACCATTAGTGCAGGGATACGGGAGGAGAAAAGGAGTGAGAAAGGGCAGAGGGACACTCAGACCAATGGAGAGGGAAGGGTGTTCTAGTGTTTGTCTCTTCCCTCTCTGCTTCCCAGTTTCTGAATAAGTAATTAAAAACATTAATTGGTAATAAATTACCCAAAGGTGGGTTTATTCTGCCTGTGACAGCAATTGGCAAACCATTTCCTTGCCTGTATCTCCATCCATGAGCTTCCTTGTTCATATTCCTGCAGTTTTCACCCCCATCCCATGGTGGAGATGGAGCATCAGGGGCTGGTAGTGGCGCCGCAGCCAGACGAGGCCAACGCACCCCGTCTTAAACAAGAACCTCTTAATGTGAGTGAACTAGCACCAGGGAGGAGATGCACTCCTTATATAAAGGATTCACCATAGCTGTTGGGTCTCAACCCAGTGGTAAGGTTTCGCCCCAGTTGTTTAAAAGAAGCATGAACAGAGTTGAGATTTTGCAGTCACCTGCAGGTACCAGAGCAAGTTATGCCCAAGGGGGTCTCAACACCCCTGTCTCCTATGGCCTGTAGCATTTTTGGCCCCATACTTCTCTCTCTCCTGAGATCCTGCTCTTCCCTCTGTCCAACACTTTCTGTACATGCTCATTGCAGCTGTCACATTTCCACCTTCTTGCTCCAACCCATCTTCAGCTCTTCTCCTTCCAGTCTCTGGTTTCTGATTTCCATTCTTCCTGTGCTCTTGCTCTTTTGACTTCCCTCCCATTTAAATCTTCATGGCCTTTTCTACATGGATTCAGTAGTAAAGGCAATAAAATTACAGGAAAGACAACACACAACAATTTTCAGCATTTTTAAATTTTCAGCAGTGCCTTTAAAACCTCTTTCAGGCTTTGTGATTCTTTTATACATGGGTGAATATTAAGCCCATTTCAGATAAAATGTGTGTGATTTATTTTTTATATACAAAGATGTTTATACTGGTTTTCTATGAACTAAGATAGGTCTGTGATGAAACTAGGCTTCGTTCTCTTCAGGATGGTAAAATCACATCCCTGACAGCAAGGTGCTCCTCCCATCAAATTTTGGTTTTGGTTTTGGCTCTGAGGCACAAAAACACAGGAGCTTTGTATTGAATCACTGTGAGAATTTTAAAACTGATTACACAGTGCATTTCCTCTGATGTATTTTTGGAAATGGCTGAACTGTTTTTGTTGAAAATTCAACAAATGCAAAAAAAAAAGAAAAGGGCACAAAATAAAATAGCCACAACCTTGACAACAAAAAAACACATATAGTTGATCACAACCTAAGCTAAATTTGCATAATAGAAAACTTCAGTTTGAATGAGTGTGATTTTGCAAAGTTATAAGCAGCCTAGGACATTGTCTTATGATGATGAAAGGGTTGGGCAACACCGCTACTAAAGGTGGATCACTCACTCAATACATGTCTCTAATTTTGATACATTTTGAAACATTGTTTGTGTTGGCAAAGCTTAGGCTGGGACAGTGATTCCTACGGGCAGCTTTTCTGTTAATTTGTATGATTAGATTTTTCAATCCGTATATTTTTATCATATCTCTGAAGCCTATGAATCAGTGCTTTCCCTATAATACTCATTAGTGACAACAGGGAAAAGCTTCACTGGAGAAATGTTTATTACCTTGTTGCCATAAACAGGTTAGAAATATGAAATGTCACATATGCAGAAATAATTTAGAGCACAAACCCCTAGAGAGAGTTTCTTTGAAAAGAGAGAGTAACATTGAGAAGGTACAAATTTGATCTGTGTTGTTGACATCAAAACTCTGAATTGTCAAATCAGCTGTAGAAACTGCATTCATACGTAAAAATCTTGGCTTAAAAAGATTTTATCATTATCAAAATATATTTATTACTATTACTATTATCATTATCATAATTATATTTTTTCAAATTTCAAAGGTCTTAGTCATTTTTGCCTGATAGAAAAACTTGTTTCCTTAGTACATATGACAGTTTGTGTGGGTTTACAGAACCTAGAACAATCTCGTTGGATAGGAAGCCAAGGCCAGCTGAGCAACAATGTCTATTATTTTCACAGCTATATGCCTCAAATTAGCTTCCTACATAAAATTAACCTGGTTTCAGATTTTTAAGTGGCTTTTAAGGATCCTTTATATATGTTTAGGAATCTGACTTTAGGCATTTACTTTTAAAGTGTTGACCACTACTTCTAATCTGGAACCTAAGAATGAAATGTTTGAATTTTAAACATGCAAAGTTTGGATAAGTTGAGAGTTTCCTGCATCCCTGTTCAGTGGAGTTTTTATTTTAAACTGGCAGCTACTGGCATAAATAGCACTTAGATTTCGGCAGTAAATGAATCTAAGAACATGGATTTGTCAACTTCAGCTCTCAGAACACTGCTGTATTTTTTTTTTTTTAGACCTAATTGTCCAAGGATGAAACTGCCAATCAGGCAAATACAACATAGAATAAAAGTTCAAAAATGTATGCTTGAGGTAATATTTTTAGCAAAGTATACCAATGGTCACAGAGTGGTATTATTGATGTAATTATTCTACAAAGCTACAAATGAAATAAAAGACCAAATTTCAATGTAGAATCCACTGAGTTTGTACTACCCCTTACCTCATGCCATGCATAAAGCCCCAGAAAAATATGTAAGATCTGGAGGCCAGAGATACATCTTGACAGGAGCAAGCTTCCAGCACAGAAAACAGAAAATTCAGTCACCTTTAGCAGACCTTCCACTCACATAAATGCCTATATCGTAGTGAGGATGATGATTACAACAGTGAATTTCCTCCCTATTCAGTCTCTCCCTGGAAACACAGAACACAGTTTTGATACATGGTAGGACACAAATACAGTCAATGAAAAAATAAGAGTAATAGAATAAAGAAAAATAAATCCTTATGTCATAATATTTTACTTCAAAAATGGGAGGTAGGCCACAAAACAGGTTAATTTTTGCTGTTTAAATTTTGCAAGTAAAAAAAAAAAAGTAAAGTGATATTTTGGAAAAAAAACCAAAACTTTTTTCCTAATTCCAGTAGACAGAGCAAGTAAAAATTAGCTTTCAAATATTTTACTTTACATATGAGGTATATATGTTAAAAATTGTATCCATCTTGTTAAGCATGTTAGGTCTTCCTAGCTTAAGAATCATGATATTTTGATTTTGGGATATTACCCTAATTTTAATGAGAGAGATCAGAACAGAGTAAAACTCAGAATATTAATCATATTTACATGTACAGTGGGGACTTAGTTTTTGCTCTTTCTGTGAGCAAAAACGTCTGCACAAACAATACCATTTACATACTGTAGCCCCGTTTTTAGTGCTCCCACACAATAGCTAATTTCTCAGAGAAAATCACAGCTTTTCCTCAAACACTGTGCCTGCTCTATTTAGGCACTGTGAGGCCTGGGATGAGGGCAGGCAGAGCTTACAGAAAACTCGTAGGCTGCCTCAAACCTGTTTTTACCTCAGTTGTTGCCATGGAGCTTTGGAGAGTTTGACAATTTAGGGCAGTCACCGGATTTCATATTTGGTCTCCATTTTGATGTTGCTTTTCCAAAGAGGTTCTGGCTAACACTTGCTGAGGAGGATTTCTCTCCACAAACTTTGAAGTCCATAATAATACTGTCAACCACGGCCTTAACACTTGAGGAAAGGATGATGTGTAGACAGCTGAGGGCATCTAAATTTGTCCAGGGAAGTCCACTACCCCCTGGAGTCTGGAAAATGCAGCATTTCTCAGGGTGCAGGTATGAATTAGGTTTACACCTGTTGAGCTAAAGATTAGAACACGGTTTGGGAGTGCTAGAAGTATTGACCAGAATACACCTCAAAATGCAGCCCTGGTTTAGATTATATGTAGCAGCCCATAGCTGTCTCAGAGCTCCTCTCTTCTCCCTAGTCTATCTACTGCTGGAGCTTTGATTATCTCTGATTTCCATCCTGAACCTGGACCATTTCTTCCTGCCTATCTGTTCTTCATAAGACTGGCCTTCGTAACACTCATGACTGGGCACTAGGATACGGCCATGATAAAGTGAGAAATTATCATCTTTCTACTCTTAAGGAAGAGTGACAATCTTGTTAAAATATGAGAAGAAACAGTTTTTCCATAATTTTATGAGAATCATAACATTGACCTTGAAGAAAGCAGAATGTGAATTTGGGGAAAGAGGTCTTAAAATTAGTAACCTTCCTGTTGCATGCCCGTTTGTAACAGGCCTGTGCCATGCTTCCACTGCTCCTCTCTGCTTCTGGCATGTCACTATATATCCCTGATACACAGATGTTGTGAAGGTGATGGAGAAATTGTGGAAGGCTCCTTGCTCAAGGGTTATCCACCAAGAACCCAAGTACATCTGTCAGCAGACTTTTGCAAAACTCCACACAATGTGGTGACAGTACACTTCTGTGTCTGAAGTCAGATTAAGATAGTTTCGCTTCTACTTGTCCCTTACAGACTCAAAACCTCCCTGAATCTGATTGAAACTGAGGATGGGCTTCTGATATTTTGTCACAGTGGTATAACCCCACAGCAATGCCTTGACAGAGATGTGACAATCTCTCAATGCTCTGTGATATATAAATGCCTGAAGCATGTTGGGCAGCATTCCTTTTTTTTTTACCCTCAAGGTATCAGAAATGTAAATGTCAGAGTGTAAACATTTGCCAGGGGTTTCCTCTAAGCATGATTTTCTCCTGACAGTGATTCATGCAGTGCTCATGCAGGTCCTCAAGTGTCAGTAATCAGAGAAAAGTGTCTTAACCAATTACACTGTTTAGTCCTGATCACATCATCTCTAGCTGTCGAGTTAGATAAAGGCTCCTGCAGCAGGTGGAGGCCTAAAGTAGTTGTTTTACCTCCTCTGGCAAGCACAATTTACATCTGGTAACATATTCAATTAATAGAAGATGTTTTATTTTTCTCAGGTTTATTACATGTTCCACAGATTTGAATGGGATATTTCTGTTCATGCATATACCTATTGTTGCTAGGATTTACAATGTAACATGACTAGCTTATTAATGCCTTTTGAGACGACCTGAATCTAATCAGTATGTTCAAATGCCCTTGCTTCATGCTCTGCAAGTGCTATGAAAAGTAAATTGTGCTTCACATTCATTGTCAAAAAAGCTTTTAATGCTGAGAGTGTGAGTCTAAAAATTTATTCTCTTAGGAAGATATGAAGAGGGTTTGCTTACTCTGAATTATCCTAAGGAGACTTTTACACGCTTCCAGCCTACCACTGCAGCTGGTATTAGTGAGTATTCCTGTCATTAACACTAGTGAGTTGTACCCCACCAAGTGAAAGTTTTTGAACTCCTGATCTTGGATACTGCTTGAGAGTGAATATGTAGCGACAAAGCACGTCACATAAAAAAATGAGTGTTGTCTTCATGGCCCTGTAATATGTATTTGCAATAAATCAGGATTCCCAAGAAAAAGAACTCTGATTCCAGAGTGTACTGCTAGACCTGGAAGGAGCACTCAAAAGAACAAGTTCCTGTTTGCACATTTTCTGCTAGTACTTCAGGTAGACAGGTTTGATATTTTTCAGAGGTGTGGCAGAAATATGAGTGAATGAACTTTCTTACAGTACTGATAATGAAACAATTATACACCACCACTGCAAAAGTCTGGAATTAAATATTGAAAAGCCTATTCGTATTACAATTTGCATTCAGGATTGGCACTAATTGGCAATGCTGTTGGCAGTCTCAAGAGGAAGGGCAAGAACTGAGTAAGCATGGAGACTTTTTAATACAAAGAAGTGGTTCTTTCAGGTCAGGTTTAACGCACATTTACTATGCAGAAAGGGAAGCACAGCACTGTTGTTGCTAGTAGTCTTATTTGTCGCTGTAAGTGTCTTATTTGGAGAGCCTTGTATTTGCTGGATCAGTCAGTCTTGCCTAGGGATCTTATAAGGTGCTAACCCCACTGTCACTGTATTTTGAAAACTCCTTCTTGCAGAGGTGGACGTCTGCCTAAATATTCAGAATCAAATGGGAAGAAGAATATTCTAAGCAGTATAAAAAGAATTTGATGGAACACTGCCTAGTTCAAAAAGGCAATGAAGACAATTCATGCCATGAAACTGAAGCAGTAGCTACTATAAAGCTCTACTTTTTGCATTTGACCCATTAAAGCTGTAACATGGGACAGATGTCTGCCCTGCTGCAACCATTGTCCCACTTTTTTTCATTTTGTCATGAGCTTCATAGTTTTTCTCTCTGACTTCTCTGTTTTATTCAATACACTGCTGCAATGTTCACTTTTTCTGCCTGTCATTTTTACCATGTATCTGCTCCTTTGATTTCTTACTGTAGGAAATATGTTTCAGGGATGCTGTGATGCATCCTGGGATTGGTAGTTTCCGAAGTATACTCTGACACACATGGGGAGTGTAAGTCCCATGGTGGTTGACTAGGCAAATCATGTGTTGTCCGAAGGTATAAAAGGTGCTGTTCTCTTCTAATAAATGGATTTGGTTGTTGGAAATCCATGCAGCCAGGTCATGCTTTATTTTATTATATTAATAAAGCCATACATGGCACCCTAAACGTGAGGGCTTTTCCCTGTAACAGGGATAGATACACCACCTTGCAGCAAGGAAAATCGCAGATGTGTTCCTACTAGCTTGTTCCAGAGCTCAGGAACACATACCAAGAAAAAAGCCAGATGTCTTTAAAAGCATTGAGACTTCAGCGCAGAACACAGCTGGAGGATGCAAAACTGAACAGAGCTCAAAAAAAATTGAAGGTGCACTTGCCAGGAGAAGAAAAGCTGAGAGAAGCAGCAGAGAACGCAAGCTGAAAACAGTGTGAAATGGAACTGGCGAAAGCAGAGACAGTGAAAAGCCAAAAGGTGGCAGAGACGAAAAGCGCTGAAAAAAATCAGCGAAAAAACAGCAGGCGGCGAGAAAACACACATGAGATGAAAGAGGCAAGAAAAAAGGTAAAAGCATGGGGAATTTGGTTTCCTGGGACATAGAAAGGGATACAGAAGCCATGTGTCTCTTGCTAAGACAATACCCTATCAAGATCACACACGTGGAAATAACAGATCTCTTGCAATGGATAAAAATCATTGCACCAGGACTGCCACTTGTAGAAGCTTTAAATATAACCACTTGGCAAAGAATCGGCAGATCCATGAGAGACAGAGCCAGATCAGGCGATACAGAAGCCTCTAACTGCCTTCCTGCCTGTACACAAGTTATGGACACTTTGCAGATCGCTCAAAGAAGGCAGAACCCCCCAAGAGACACTAACACACATCTCCTTGAACCCCCCAGCCAGGCTGCTAAGTGCAGCCATTCCCCACAACTCGGGAACAGACACGAGGGGAGGGGGACCGCGCGCGACCTAGGTGGATATAACAATGGACTCGGGTTGGGATTTGCGCTGGCAGGAACGGGGGGAACGCGATGTAAGTTACAGTGAAGGTCCTGGTTTTTGTGTGCGTGCGAGTTGTGGAGATAGGACAGGAATTTTAGTTCGTGAATTCACTATACAGGGCGAATTGTAGGTTCCCGCCGCAGCGGGGGGGGGGGCACCCAGCAAACTTACCCTCTCATGTTGCTGATGACTTGCTGCCGCGTGCTCAGAGAAACGTGACCTGGGGCGCAGTCATCTTGTGCATGAAATGGACCAGAACTTGAGCTGTCTCTTCCGGCCCCACAGCCATCTTGTCCTGGCCGCATGCACGAGGGGAGAGGTGCTTCCCTGCCATGGCGGCCATCTTCTGCCATGCCACCTCAGGGAGCCAAGTATGTCGGAACTGCGGATAGTGAGGCATCGGAAGATGATGATGAGGAACTGGAGGTGGTTCCTCTGAACAGGGCAAGAGTGCAGGTGTGGGGGTGTTGGTTAACCGGTGGGAAAGATGCCGCGAGGAGGCAATGTGGACAGCCAGGTTATTAAAGCATGCCCAGTTATATACTGCCCAAACCCCTCAGTTCCAAAGCTTGCCCTATGAGGTGACAAAGGAACTGAGGCAGATTGTTAAAGACATGTTTCCTTGTCTCACACATTTTCATATCCGGAGACACTGAGTACCACATGATTGGAAGATACTGTTGAAAATGGTTTTAACTACCACTCAGTACTGGTAGTGTCTGGTTAACAGACTATCAGGAGAATTGTGCTGTGTATGCAAGTGACCCAGGCGGTTCACAAGCAGGCATGACTTGCAATCGTTTGGCAGGAAAGGGGGAGTATGTGCCAGCAAATTCACAAGCAAGCTACCCCTGCAAGATATATGAGGTAATAGCAAAACTGGCTTTGAGGGCGGTAAGAAAACTCCCTAGCACGGACAGAGACAGTAACCTGTCCTTCACAAAGGTCCTGCAGGGATCAACTGAATCTTTTTCCCAGTTCCTTGATCGGCTGCAGGCGGCTTTAGACAGGCAAATAGAGCATGAAGAGGCTAGAGAGGTGCTTTTTAGGCAGCTGGCATGTGAGAACTTGAACCTGGACTGCAAGCGAGCTCTGCAGGTTATCCCTAAAAGGGAAAGCTGCACCATCACCAAGATGGTTCAAGCATGTCAGGGTGTCAGATCAATTGAACATCATACTGTTTCTCTAGCAACAGCCTTAAGCGCCCAGCTAAGATTGCAGGATGGGGCAAGAGGGAGAGGCAGCTGCTACCGATGTGGCGCTGCTGATCATTTTTATAAGGATTGCTCCAAGAAACCCCCCTCGGCAGTATGCCAAAAATGTAACCATGGGAAGCAGGGGCCTAAAAACCCTTCCCATCAAGGAAACTGGAGACGGGGTGCAAAAGCCCCGGTTCAACAAATAAATACAGCCCAAGAAAACAGATTAGCGATCTGCTCGCTGCCACCTCGGGCAGTGCTGGGTTGGACCTGGCCTCCAGAGAGCCAGTAACTATAACATCTACTGCCATAGGGTTAATCCCTACAGGGATTTGGGGACCTTTAAGCCCAGGAGTCTATGCCCTTCTAATCGGACAGTCATCAACCACCAGGATGGGTTTGTTTGTCTTACCCAGAGGTGATTGACTCCGACTCTCACAGTGAGATACAAATAATGGCATGGACCCCAGTGCCTCCCTGTTACATACCTGGGGGACAACGGCTTGTCCAGCTAATCTCCTTTTATAGCATGTCACTGGCTAGCGAGGGAGAAAGGGGCTCGGGGACTTTCGGGAGCACAGACGAGCCACAAATATTCTTGGCAAGGACCATTTCTGCAGCACAGCCAATGATGACATGTCAGATAGACAGATGCAGATTCAAAGGCCTGGTGGACACAGGAGCAGATGTTACAATCATTAAAAACACTGAGTGGCCAGCTAAATGTCCTACTGTTTACCCTGCTTCGACTATCTGGGTGTTGGGGACACACAAAGGCCCAGGCAGAGTGCACAACTATGCACAGTGTTGGGGCCAGAGGGACAAGTTGCCAAGGTAGCTCCTTTTGTTGCTCCTATTCTGAGCACCTTATGGGGACGAGATGTACTGGGACAGTTTGGCACTGTCATGCAATTTGCAACTGGAAATGAGCAGAATTTTCAGTGAGGGCCATTGACCAGCTGTTCCACGGACAGATTAAGCTGACATGGAAAATCAGTGACCCTATATGGGTCATGCAATGGCCCATGAAAGAGGAACAGCTTGCTCACTTAAGAGATTTAGTTCAAGAGCAACTTGATGCAGGACATATAGTGCCAACCACCAGTCCGTGGAACACTCTGGTGTTCTGCAGACCCAAGAAAAGTGGCAAGTGGAGCATGCTGCATGACCTAAGAGCAGTCAACTCAGTGACAGAACCTATGGGGGCATTACAACCAGGGCTTCCTTCATCTGCTATGCTTCCAGCAAGATGGCCATTAGTGGTAATTGATTTAAAAGACTGTTTCTTCACCATTTTTCTACATCCCAATGATGTGCCACAATTTGCTTTCTCCATCCCCGCTCTAAACCATGCACAGCCCATGCAGAGGTACCACTGGGTTGTTTTGCCTTAGGGGATGAGAAACAGCCTGACGATATGTCAGACTGTTGTGGCAAAGGCTATGCACCCTATCAGAAGGCTTTACCCCTCATCAATCATTTACCACTACATGGATGACATCTTGGTTGCCACGGCCAAGGAAACTGAGTTACAAACTGTTATCACTGCTCTAACTAATGCTGTCCGAGAAGCAGGACTGCAGGTTGCTCCAGAAAAGATCCAACAATCTCAGCCCTGGACCTACCTTGGATGGAGGATCACGCAGCAGGAGATCTCGCCCCAGCCACTTCAAATTAAGGTAGAAGACACTTTAACCTTAAACGAATTGCAGAAACTTTTAGGAGCCATCAACTGGTTAAGGCCTATCTTAGGCTTGACCACAGAGGAGCTGCACCCCCTGTTTGAACTGCTGAAAGGCAATCCACACTTGACATCTAGTTGGTCTCTGACCACAGAGGCAAAAGCAGGCATTAAAGACATGTTCTAAGGCAATCGAGAGCAGACAAGGCAGAAGGAAAAATCCTGAACTTCAGATCTGCCTTGCCCTTGTTCCTAGCAGGTTCCAGCCATTTGCGGTTTGGTTTCAATGGGACCAGACTAAACTGGATCCATTGAGGATCCTGGAGTGGCTGTTTCTGCCCCACTCACCTCCTAAAACTGTGTGGACAACTAATGGAATGTTTGTCGAACTTGTTGTTAAAGGCAGAGCACGTCTACAGGAGCTGGACGGACAGGATCCTGCGATAATCCCAGCAACGAAGGACAGCTTTGACTGGCTGCTGGCCGAAGACGCTGGATTCCAGGCTGCCTTGGCAGGCTATGACGGTGACATTTCCATTCACTACCCTAAACACAGGCTTTGGGCAGAAATGGGTAACTTACCCTTAAAAGCCACAAGCAGATGCCAACACCAGCCAGTAAAAGGCCTCACGGTCTTTACTGATGCATCAGGACAGTCCAAAAAAGTTTCAGTGACATGGGTAAATCCTGCTACAGGACAGTGGAAACAGTAAGTACAGACCATAAGCCATAGTTCTGTACAAGTCCTAGAACTCACAGCTATTCACATTGCCTTTGAACTGTTTTCAGATCAACCAGTTAATATTGTTACTGATTCTTGTTATGCAGCAGGTTTGGTTTCATGTCTCGAGGCTTCCTTCCTTTGAGATGTTGCAAACCCACATTTACTCGTTGAAATACTTGCTGTATGAGTTCTTGTTAATCACAGAAGGTTTGATTTTTACATAATGAATATTAGATCAAACACGGAAATGCCGGGACCTGTAGCAGAAGAGAACCAGAATGCATGTTCTCTGAAGAGACAATTTGAAATTACCATCAATCAGGCTTGAGATACAGTTATGTCATGCTCAGACTGCCAACAAATTACCCCAATGCCATCTCAGGAAGGTGTTAAGCCATATCTCACTATCACTTCTTGGTAAAGACCCTCATCTTTATCTTGAAGGGCCAATTTCAAAGCCAATCATTATCTTCTTATTTGTCTTTTCATGCTGTCTCATGTATAACTGTGATTTACTGACAATTTTTTTCTATACCTCTTCATGACTTTTTCCAGTGTTTCTCGTATACCTGGTGACCTTGTGCCCAATTTGTCAATAAATCTGTTAGCCTGTCACTCTTCCAGTCCTTCAAGACCAGAGTGTAAGAATTTCCCAAGCATTAACACTCATGTATATAATCGGGGAGTTTTGAGATACATTTTATTTCTCTTCGTGTATTTTGTTTTCAGTTAACTGACATGAGAGCAGTGACTAGTGCACATAGTGAACAGCTGCAAACACACAGAGTGGGTGACTGCTTCATGTACTTGGGGAGGACAGAATGGGAATATTGAGCAGATCATGGGATGGCTGCTTGTAAATGTACAGGTGGAAAAAACTGTGTGAATGGGTGAATGATTCTAAAGCTGTGCCTGCCTCCTGTTATACCTGATGCTGGACCACTCTGAGCTACACCCTTATCTTCGTACTCTCCACCAAATGAATCTGATGCATGACAGGAGGTGCTCAAAGCTTATTAAATAGGGACATCTTCTCAACAAATGTTTTCAAAATGAGCCTCTCAGGTCATGCCAGTGTTTTGCCACAAAGTACATCACTGATTTGTCATGGTGCAGTGCTAGGAACAGTGCTTTTCCTAGGATGGAAAGTGATGTAAACTTCTATCTTTGCTGCTTTTAGCTTCAGCTCCCTTTTAGCAACTATATGCAGCATAGCACCACTCTTCCGTTTGTGTAAGATAATGTTAGCAGAGCACGTGATCTGGCATAGTCTATAGGCCAGAGCAGAACAATCCTGTCACTTGTCTTCTGTAACTCTAGGGTGGTATAAAACATTTTGAATGCCTTCTTAGATTTCAATTTATGGCATATATTAGAGCAGTTCAGTGATTATTCTAAAGCGTTCCTTGCTGCCCCCAGATTAGAGGCTGTTCTGGCAGCTGATAATAACTGAAGTGTAGAAGTGCTTTGGCTAAGCTCTGTTTTTCCCAGTCTCATCTCTGGCAGCAAGAAAAAGAAGTGACAGACCTGCAGTGTTGCTTTTCACTACCTGGCAATTTTCTTACACATTGCGAAGAATAGGTAGGAAATTAAGTCAGTTGTTCTGCTAAAACAATGACATTAAACCAGAGACAGAATCTGATTGGAAGAGGTTTGGCTTTAAAATCCAAGCAGTCAAGAATTATTAATAAGTCTAGGTTTTGGGGATATAACAGCTCATGTGCAGAACCTGGAGAACTAAGGAGTAACTCTATTCACTGGTTAGTTAAAGTTATTAGAATTAGGTTTGCAGTAGTGTATGTGTCTAATTCATTTAGCCAAAATGAGTTTTTGTCTTTCTGTGTATATCTTATGTATCCTTATCACTAATTGTTAGTATAGGCAAATTTCTGGGTCAAATTCTGTCCCTAGTGACTATTATGATCTTCTTCCACAATAAACTAACTTTTAAGGTCTGATCTAAGTACTGACAAGAAACTACAAAGGGCTATCAGCATTGTTACAGTCTAATATCCAGCATTAATAACTCACTCAAAGCAGAGAAGGAATGAGATTTGGAGAATTTTATGTAATTGTTTTCCTTCCATTGTTAATCTGACAATCTATATAGTTGTAATAATAATAATAATAATAATAAGGGTTTATTTTTTCATTTACCATATGGGAATACTGGATAAATTGGTCAAATTAGAAATCTGAAAAAGTGGAGACTTGCATTCTGGTTCCTATTTTCATTAACTATGTACTGTGTTAATTAGAGCACATCAATAACTGATCTGTGCTCACATTTCTTTTTCTGTGAAATGGAGAAGATAGCTACTCTGTAATGATGCTGTGGGACTTCATTCATTACAAAAGTTCTTAGTTTGTTTTGATTCCACAATTGGATTAACCCGGGGTCCAGGCATAAACAAATATGGTATACATTTATATATAATACTAGTAACTTAGATGAGAACCTATGTCCTTAGGACAGAAAAAAAGAGAGGATATTTCGAAAATAATATCTTCAAAGAATATAGTAAAAATTGGTAGGATCATCATCATGGCGAGGCTTCGCGAACGAAGATTTGGGAAGGCTCTATCCACATTTGCTACAGGCACGCTGGTGGCTTATGAGGCCAATACGAGACAGACATATCCGATTGCAAAAGGCACAGCAGAAAGACTCCTTAGATGGTGTATTCTGCAATTTACGGTTCTTTCTGCGCTGCCTTTTTTCCTCGAGAGTGATCCTGCGTGTGTTCTCGAAGGAGACAGCTGCGTTATAGATGGCGTGTCTCCAGGCCTCCCGATTTGAGGCCAGAGTAGACCAGCTGTGTTGATCAATATGGCCAAGGCTGAGACGTTGTTTCAGGGAGTCCTTGTATCTTTTCTTCGGGGCTCCTCTCATGCGGCAGCCAGTGGCAAGTTCAAATTGGTAGGATAACTAGGTTTTAAAGCCATTTAAAGACGAAGGAGTTGTATAGGAGGATTTACAAAAGCTTTCAGATGCTAACTTCTGTGATACGCTTTGGTTTCAATGACTCTGAAAGCTTGGTCACAAATCCCAATGCCGATGCCCGTTTCAAAGTCAAACACACACAGGGACTTTGCTGCAAGATCATAACTAGGCATCTGTAGCCTTTCGCAAACGGTAGCAAGCCGGCAAAAGTGCTGCGATAAAGTGCTAGTAGCTCCGTTTTAAAGGAAGTGAGAGGCGTAGAAAACCCTGATGTGATGTAAAATACCTGACCCTACTCAACCCCGACATCGCTTGGGACCGGAGCACGGCTCGCTGCGGCACCGCCGAGCGCTCCTGGCCGGCTGGGGGCTCTGGCAGATCGCGCTGCCATCCCCGCTCCGCGGGCTTCCGGGGTCAGGGACCGCCGGCCGCGGGACGTCTCTTCTTCATCCCTCCCTCCCGCTTCCTTTCGCAGCGAGGGGCAGCGGGCGGCGAGCCCCATCCCTCAAACCCCGCTCCGCGAAGGACCATCACGGTTACCTGCCTCCCTCCCCCGGCTCCGCCGCGCCGGGCCCGCCCTCCGCGGCGCTGGCTCCGCCCGGCCCAGCCCGACCCGCCCCGCCCGTCCGCAGGCACCGCCCGCCACCCGGAGCGCGGTGCCTGGCCCGGCCCGGCCCGGCCCGGGAGCGCCGCTGCCGCGCTACGCTCCGTGGGGCGGGGGACGTGCTGCCGCCGGCGGGACGTGCGGGCGGCACCACTCGGAGCCTGCGGCCATGGCGGAGAAAGTTTCGGCGCCTTCGGAGCGGGCGCGAGGCGCCGGCCACGTCGGCTCTTCTTGCTCCGACTCCTCCTCTGGCTCTGAAACTCTCTCCGAGGAGGGGGAGTCCGGCGGCGGGGCGGTGACGGCCCCCGGCGGAGCGACGGCTGCAGCAGAGCGGGCGAGCCCCGGCGGGCGAGCGGAGGACGGCGCCTCGCTGGAGGAGCGGGATGAGGAGGTGCGCGGGGCCGGGGCGGTGGCTGCTGCTTTTCCGCCCCGAGGCACCGGGGGCGCGCCGGGAGCCCCCGCCCAGCGCGGCCGGCCCGCGGTGGGGAGCACTGCGGGCCCACCTGGGGGCAGCCGCCTCGCGTCAGTCTCCCCTGCTAAACCCGAAGCCTTCCTGTGTGTGCTCCCCGCCTCTCGCCCCTTCTGGCTGCCGATAATAGAGAGTTGCGGGTTTTTGTATAGAGAGAGGATTGTTTCGGGAAAGCTGGTGGTTTTTTGGTGTGTTGTTTTTTTTTTTTTTTTTTTTTCCCTTAGCGTGTCACCTTTGGATAGCGTTTCTCTAAAGCAAACTCTTCGATGTCGGAAGTGATGGGCAAGCCCCTAAACTACAGTAATCCTCTTCTGAGAGCTAATGACAGGCTATGGGTTATGGAGGAGCTCAGTGGGTGATTGATCTGTAGCGTGATACGCGGATACGCGTGTCGTTCCCTCCCTCCCCTCCGGATCGCTGCAATACCTTCTAACTGCACTATTAAAACAAAACAACCTGCCCACTGTGTTACAGTAAAGTGACTCTTTTGTGTCTGAGACTTTTTTTTTGTTATTTATTTATTGTTGCGTGATTCACACTCCTTAAAGCTATTTAGTGCCATGACCCCCAACCAAGTGTATTGTTCTGTCTGACTGCTGTTTTGCTTTTCTTCATCATCTCTTGTCTTACTTGTGCCTTTTGTTGTGGTCAACTTTTTAATTTACTCTTAGGTGGTGTTTATTCTGTGCCTTTATGCTGCTGGATGTTCAAATGTTTTTCTCGGAAACCTTGCATTTCTAAAGGAATATCTGTTAAACTGGTTGAAGTTATTTTCAACTAGTTAAGCTGTGGTTGTCAGGAATGTTTGCCTCTGCAGTAATGGCTGTCTACGTAGCTCCTGTTTTCCCCTCGATCCCGACGCCTCCTCTGTTAAACTGATACAACTGTAAGACAGCATAGTGACTTGAAACTAAGTATAACTTTCTGTATTCCTCCCCCCCCTTTTTTTTCTAAAATACTGAAACTTAGCTCAGGTTCCTTGGTTCTTTCAACTGCGTGAGCCCACAAAGAGCCGAATGTATTTACAACCAAGTGCATTTATGATAGAAGTAGAATGAATGTGCATATATCCACACAATTTTTATGTGTATAGTTAACTTGCTTTAATCACTAAACTGAGTAGGAGCTCTGTAGCTGCTGTTAGCATGGAGTGCAGTAGTAGGTAATTATTTTTTCCTGCTTCTCAGCAGGTCTGGTCTGTGTGGGCTTGGGGCTGTGCTTACCACAACTGTGTGGTGTCTAGATGGTTTGGTGCTCAGTTGGTATGCCTGCAAAATGCCGTGTAGAAATATACAAAGTGTTCTGTTCAGTTAGCTGAACTCAGAGCCATTGGCAGACTTCTGGTAAAGACTGGTTATTTCTGTGTAGGCTTTGGAGATGATTTAAAGGCATTTTTTGAGTTGACAGTATAGGGAAAGCAAGATCAAAAATAACTCAAAATTGAATTCACTGGAATTAGGAAATTCTGTATGGGCAGTCTGATACCTCACTTGCAATTAGTCATGCTAGAAGATAGCAGCATAAGCTCGTATTAATGTAGTGGGAAAATTTGCTTAGAGTATGCAACCTTGTTTGCTCCCTTTTTTTCTCCTCTGCTAGATTCCTTCATTATCTGAAACCAGACTTTTTTTGTCTGTGATTTTTGTGCTTTCGTTTTGCCTGTCCTTCCATTTTGATGTAGCCAGCACTTACAGCTGAATTTCTGCCTACCCGCAGAACCACCTGACAAATCCATTGGTATAATAATTTTTTTGTGCAAGGGCACGACAGTGCGTTAGAGTGCAGAAATAAATGAACACATATTAATTGAAAACCGAGAGAGCATCTATTCACATTGAAACTGTTAAGGGTAGTGGAAAAAAGCAAGGCTAAGGTCCAAGATATACGTACAGATGATTTTGGTCTTGCTTTGTGTTCCACCTGCTGAAAGTATAACATTGAGAGAAGTGCTTGAAGATTTTACATTGATATCCTATTTAGTTACTGTCAAATAGTGAAAATATTGATGTACTCTGCAGTGTTCTGTTACTGAGTTCTTTAATTTTATGGATCCCTGGTTCTTGATTTTGCACTGGCAGGTTTCATTTCTCCTCTTGCCCTGTCCTTTTTCTGTTGCCAACATAGCAGAATTAAATCTGTTGTCACAACTGGTTGGTATCCTTCAGACAGCAGTGAAACAGATTGTCCTGCTACCTCTATTGCTACTTTAGCTGTCAGTAAATTCTTCAAACCATGACATATAAAATATTTTCAAACTAATGGGTAGTTAGAAAACATGCATATTGTCCCTACACATTGCCATTTTGTGTGCTATTTCAGTAGAACTATGTCTTCTTCTGTGATATTGTATATGACATACTTGACAACTTGGACTTCGTCTCCTCTTGGACTTCTTTAGACTAAACAACCCCAGTGGCTTTCATCTTTCCCTATAGAACGTGTTTTCAGACATTTGATCATTCTCATTGCTGTCCTGTGGACACTTTCCAGCTGCTGACATCTGTCTGGAAGCATGATTTGAAAAAGCAGGATGCCATACTCAGATTTAGGCCTTGCCACTTCTGCTAGGACAGAAAGATTATTTCAGAGATCTCTCAAGGACTGTTGTTTTTTAAGTAGCCCAGCCTGCTAATTTACAGTTTGTGGTCCATATGAGTTTTATGTCTTTTTCTGAAGAATGATGTGAACATTTCTCCCCTACTAAAAAGAACGGTTCATCTCTGCAGCTCAGTGAAGGAAACTTAATTCTGTTATCTAGGGTAGGTCAGTTTCTTTTATATTCAGAAATTAAACTGTAGAACTGAAAGCATGTTAACTCCTCTAATGGGTATGTCTGAAAGAGTTAATTCCTGGAGGCAAACAGGGAAGGGAGGGGTGGGAAGAGAAAGTACATCACTTTTTTTTATTCCCTGTTGTTATTACTTCATTCTACTGTTGCATACTCACCTTGAAAAAAATGCTAAAAAATACTTGAAGAAAAGAAATCTCTCATTTCATGTAAGCAAGAACAAATGATAGTTTACAGGATTATGACTATCAGTTGCTGAAGTGTTTTTGATGTCTTACTCTGAGGTATTAGACACATGAGAATTAAATGTGGCTTTAACATTAACTTCATTTAAGTGCTTTGCTGCTGGAACATCTGTGTGGTGAAGTGCTGTGGATAGCAAACGTGAAACACAATTCAAGGACGTTATTTGCCTATGCTCTTCTGAGGCGAGTGGCTAACAGCTGACAGAGCAGGCAGGATGGAATTGCATGGTGGTGAAGGGCACTCAAGACAAATACTTTGTAGACAATGGGTCAGCATGTTCTTGATGCAGTATGGTTGTTTAGTTTTTTTAATTCTGTATTCTCTTCAGAACTCTCTTTGTTGAAAAGAATGTTTGGCTGTCAAGGGAGGAGTTGAGACTGGGCAACAGCATGTTTTCTGTTGTAATCTCTCTGCTTCTGCTCTCTGTGGGTAGTTAAAATGGACCAGCATTATGGGGACCAGGATAAGTGCAAAAAACCCCACGATTTTCCTCATGTTGCTTTTTCCTGTGTTTCTATCTTCTCTACACTAGTTTTTCTTTTGGCAAAAAAGTGACTATGAACAGGAAACATGTTTTATGAAATTTACTGAGGCAAATGGTGCCAGATATCATTGGCTGCGTTAGTTTCTCTCATTCAAAATGTTTCACAGTCTTGCAGTCCAGCACGGGATATGCTTTTTTTGTTGATGGCTTCCAAGTCTTAGTATTTTACAGGGTAGGTGAGAACTCACATGGTTTAACCTTGTTACTTAAAAAGAGGATGAAGGCAACCTGTGGATTCTTTGCCTACATCAGTAATCTCAAGGATCTGAAGGTTAAATTGTGTGTCTTGGAGTTGTCTGTCTTTTCTGTCTGACTCGGGTGATCTCCTGAAAGAGCTCACCTTTCTACAAACCTTGTCACAGTAACTACACATTGCTTGCCAAAGTCAGGAAAGATCAGAATTCTTTCGGAGAGAATAATACTTTGCCATATATTACAGCTGTCTTGATCTGAAATGGATCCAATAGCTTCTGAACATTCCAATGTCTTCTGAATTACCATAATGAATCGTCTTCATTATTTTAGATGCTTAAAAAAAACCCCTCAAACTACCTACAAAAAAACAAAAAGGAGGGGGAGAGACTATGGTATTTTGTTCTCAAATAATTTCATTTCTTGATCTGTAAATTAAATGTTTGGCCCTGAAGTAACTGTTCGAGTTTATAAGAGTTGAGATGATGAGCAATGTAAGACAAGATTTCTCATGAAAAATGTCCATTGACCTTTAAAGTTGATTACTGTACATTTTCTCCTACTGTCTAGATGGTGTGTATCATTTATTAAAAAAGATACCTCAATGCACAGAGCAAAAAATATAGAAGCTTTTTCTGTTGCAGCTAACTCTGCTCCTGAATCTGCCTTGCTGTTTATGTTGCAATCTGTTGCAGTTTCAGGAGGACTGTATGGTGAGAATTAATTACTGGGAAGCTAAGACTTTGTTATGAAAGTATTCACAGCAATGTGAAGAGGGTGGTAAAGAATGTATTGCTGTCATCATCATGGCCAGTCTTCGCAAACAAAGATTTGGGAAAGGTCTCTGAGGGGATAACCCCCTCAGTCTCTAGGCTAGACAAAGCTCTGTATGTCTCAAACCTTTTGACCTTCTCTGGCGATTGTCTTTATTTACCTTCTTTTAGAGTTTCAGGAAAAATATGCTGTGCTTAGCAAAAAGCCTCCTCCAAACTGATAATCTTGTGGTCCCTGTGAGAGCTGAGGACAGAGCTCAGCATGCAGATGCAGAACTTGTCTCTGGTCCATGGTCTGATCCACATGACTTGATAACTTGGGGAAAGGGATATGTTTGTCTCTACAGATAATAGTCCTCGCTGAATACCTGCGTGCTAT